ACTGGCCATGCAGGAGACTCGGAACTGTGCCACTTAGTTTGGGGAAGAAATGGCGAGTTGGTCACTCTGGTCTCTGTGGACTATGATCATCAGGTGACCAGTGCCGGTGGGAGCAGCTCTCCAAAGGACGTTGAGAAGGGTTTTAGGTGACTTGCTACATGTAAAGCATCGAACATAGGTGAGCGTAAGGAAGATGAAGGCAGAATGGGCACGGAAGGAGGCACGGACGCCCTCGGGCTGAGCGGACCAGACCAGGAGTGCCCACAGGAAGGTGGCTGGCAGCAGGAGTGTTTTGTGTTCTCTTTGATGTTTTGAGAGCTTCAAGTGACCCTTCGAGAGACACTGCCACTCACATTATTTTCCTCCCTCTCTTCTCCACACTATATAGTTTTTGACAAAGCCCAGCTTGGTCCATTTCCGGAGAGAGCTCCCTAGAGTCATTCCCTCGATGTCTCTGTGCTTCAGGAACCCCTGGGAAGACAACCTCTGAGACTCCAGGACACACGCCCCTTCAAAACTAGCTGCTCACACACAGCCGGCACCTCCCCCTGATCTGTGAACGTCTAACTAATGGAATCCAGGCCTCCCAACACCCACCGTGCCCAGCATCGCGTGATGCCCGCCGTGGTCTTGGTGAAAAGTCATTTGAAAATATAAAAGTTGGATAAATAAAACAATTATGCCATAGGAAGGGAGAAAAAGCACGAAGTGGATAATGTAAAGTAGGATTTGGGTGCGAGCCATTTTAAAATGATATGAAGAGAGCACAATGTTTTCCTGAAATAAAGTTATGATATACTTGATTCAACCAGGAGTAGGGTGCTGGTTGAATTTTACCAGCCTGACTGAATTTTATTTGAACATCAGATCTGTTTTAATGTGTGGATTTTCTTACCTTTTGTCTTTTATTCTGATTTTCTTTTTCAAAATGGGATTTATCTGCCATATGGTTTATCTAATATACATGCATAATTATCAGGACAAACGCACCTCAGAATAACCAGGTAAGAATTTGAGATTAAATGTTTGTATGTTTTTCTTTATTTTGTTCATCTCTTTTAAATGTAATACTTCGATGTATATACATGCTTTTGGGGAAAGGAGAAAACAAGGTTTAATGCTTAGAAGAGGAAAACTTGGCACAGTTATTTCTACTCTCTGGGAGCACCGCTGTACCCCGGGAGCTCAGTCTTAGTGTACAGCAGCCAGCCCGCGCGATGATTGGTGAATGAAACTGTCTCTTTGTTGGGTCAACTGTTTAACGGAGCAAATTCGGTCCAGGACTCTGGTGTGGGTGATGCAGAGCCTGTGTCCGTATCTACAAGCAACGAGCCTGTCTTGGTCAAGATCTGTGCTCTGTTTCGTGTTCCTCTTTCATTGTACAGTTTGTTATTGGTGATCGTGACCAGGGGGAAGCCCACACCATCTTCTGTGAGTTTGCTGGAAGAACCAGTGTGTCTCCGTTTAGTTAGAAAGACTACCCACCTTGGAAACAAGCAATGCAAATTCCACTTCGTTTGTTCTGAGAAATAAAATGGTCACTACTTATTAGCAACGAAAACAGTTAGGTGAGATGAGATGAAATTGTGAGCATTAATAACACTTCAGTAATTTTTTGTTGTTGTTGTTTTTTTACCATTTCCTCTCTCCCTAGGTGTCATTTCATGAATTTAGCTCAGTTCACATAGCCTTGATGTAAACTGTGATCTGTACAGGTCCCTTCATTGAAGTACAAGCCGAGGCACACATCTGAGGCATGATAGGCATTCCCGAGCTTACTAGGTAAACTGAAAATAATGAGAGGAATCACAATGTCTTATTTCTCAAAACTGAGAGCTTCTGAGAAGGAGTCCAGAGGCTGAACTGAGTTGGACTTGGGTGTGTGATATTATATAATACCCTGAGTCCTATGAAGTCTGATTCCAATATTGTAAACCAACCAGTGCTATTATCGAGTGATTCCTAAATGTGAAAATAAAAAAGTTGAGAAGAAAAGGGATGTCCATCAATTGCACAAAACTATTGAGCTCTGAGTAAATTTGAATGTAATTTTAAGTTCACATTTTTTATATGAGTGAACTAAATATCATGGAAAATTGTGAAAAAATAAAACCTATGAAGAAAAGCCATGAAGTGGAGTCATGACTTATGTTTCCAAATTGTAACAAAGAACCATTTTTATACACTATAAATGAATAATAGCTATAGTTTAACACAATGTACCTTTATATATTCAAAAGAGGAATAAACACATTTGAGAAATAAGAATGAAGTATGCAAAGATGTGTTCTTAAACCTAAACTTTTAAATTTTATTTTTATCACCAGGAATATCCTCAGCAATTAACAACAAAACACGTGACCACACATTATTATTCACCAATATATGCCTCTCAGTTATAACACGGCGTGAAAAGTGTAGAAGGTTAGAAAATTCCAACTCTTCCTCACACTCATTGACTCTAAAATAGACAAGATAGTGAAAAATTCTAGATGTATTCTCTCTGAATTAATTTTTATAACCCAACTGAATAAGGCCTCTAAGATATGTAAATCCTAAACACTTCAGAAATAACAAATCATTTCATCATGTAAGATTATTGGTTTAAGGAAATGACTCTGAAAGCCTTACATCTTTATAATACTCACCGTTAAAGAAGCAACTGAAGGCATTTCGCTAACTTCACTCTAATCTCAGGTTAATGCTGTCAAAATACCTCTACTTTTATATATTCCTATAGGAGGATATTCCTTTAAAAAGGAATTTTTCTAGAGAGAAGAAAATTTGCTAACTTTTTATTGGCCAGTGTAAGACTTCTCCTAAAGAGGCATCATCTCGCGTGTGCATGTACGTGTGTGTTGATGGGTTTCTGAGTGTACGAGCACGTGTTAGGGGAACTGGGGGTGAAGGAGAAACAAAATTGGGATGACAAGTGGAAAGCTCACCTATGCATCAGAAGGTTTAAGCTGTGACACCAAAGCTCAGGATGGTTGGAAATACAGTTGTTTTCAAATGGAATCGATTCTAATTGAGTGCGGTAAGATGGTGGACATGGAGACATCGCCTTACCTCTAGTTCCCAAAAGGGGGCACACCACACCATGCAGGGCCACATGGAGAAGGACTGGGGTCAGTCCGAGGCAGAAAGAGCAAGAGGAGAGAGAGCCTTTGTTGTGGTTTTTGCAGAGAAGAACGAGCCAAACAGGATGGGCAAGCTGAACAAGTTTAGGATTGAAGAATTTGAAGAATGTCAGGGGACTCTGGGCTGGAGGGGTGGGCTGCAGGTGTCCAGTACCTGGCCCTGGGAAACAGGCAGAGAGGATGTTGAACTGGCATGTGAGAGCTTAATAAAGGGGATGACTGGGGAGATGAGCTCTGGGTTGGTTGGTTTGCCCATCAAAGATGCGTTCTCATGCAAGCCGTTTGCTCATGCAAGCCGTTTGCTCTCACTGGGAACCGGCTTACCCTGAGAGGTGCAGTCCCTGCCATGTCAGTCACTTCCCCCAGATGTTAAAGATATCATTTCATATAGAAAACAATAACCATGATCCACACAATAGAATAACTTCATTTTTATACGATTCAGTGGTATGTTGTGGTAATAGGTAGCATACGTAATCATATATAACAACATATTTATTTGAAATTAATTAACTAAATTAATTCCTATGGTTTAAATTTATAAGAATGATTTCATACCTGTATCTTAAGTATGTTTGATGAACAAATCCATACAGTAATACTTCATAAAATGCAGTACAAAGTCGTGTGTGAAAGTGAAAATGCTCAGGTCAACGAGAACTGAATTCGGGTCCCAACTGCTCCTACCGCAGGTTCGTTCTCTGGGTCTGTTGCCACAGGCATGCAGTGGGGTCTATTGCATTTACTTCAGAGAGTTCACGTAGGATTTAACTGGACGACACTTGAAAAGCTCTTCTCTTAACCTAGTACCTGGATTATTTATTTAAAGTTTAGGGTTATTACTATTATTTTTAATCAATAAGTTATTCTTTACCAGGTTTTAAAAAAAAAATTTATTTTAGGACAACTGAATAGACTCACCATAGGAAGACAGAGAAAGCTCAGGCAATCATTCAAATAATTTAAATATCCTCCTACCTTTATCTGAATTGTCTGAAATTTTTAAATAAAATGCTTGGGCCAGGACCAGCCAGAACATTGCTTCAGCTGGGATGACTGCTCACTAGAGTTGTCACGGTCACTGTCTTCAACAACTATGCCGCACAAAGTTGGAGCGTGGCCGGGCTCACACACAGGCACACTCCTGGGATCACTAAGTATAAAAGGATGTTCTCATTTCCCTCCTGGGCGCACCAAGTGGGATTAGGGAAAATTGGATTGATTTCATTAAGCCTACAGAAATAATCTACTTCATTCCTTATAGTCACACTTTCAGATTTATGAGCATCCTCCTGTACGTGGTTTTTCTGAAAGATCTTTTTCCTTTTTCTTCACAATCTTCTGAAAGAGTGTTCTAATCATACCTATTTACACACCATTCTATATCTTTTAAAATCACTTTCTTTTTAATGAGGGAGGAAATAAAAATGAGAAAATAAACGGAGTAGAGAAAGCTCTTGTGAAGTGTTTCGCTGCACCTAACATTTGGCAGTTAGGTTCTTTCCCACATTTACCTAAAGACGCATTATCATCTTGACTGCAATCACGGAGAAAATGAATGGAGTATAAAGTACATGAGGATAATTTAATAAAACGAGCTTTCTTTTCTTAGGAGATCTTTGAAGAAAGGAATCATTAACAGGGACTTGCCTTGTATTTACCCAGGTCATGACCCAGGTCAGCCTGGTGATGGGCCTTTGGCAGAAAGACCTTAATTAGAAATTCCTTGAGAGCTGCTCCCAGTAGGTGCATCCTAAGACAAAAGGACAAAATAATTTAGCAGAGGAGGCCTTACTAAGGATATCACTCAGGTGAACGAAAGAAATCATTTGCCGACAGCAAAAGAGCAAAGCTGTCGTGATGGGGTACTGGATTCTGAATGAGAGTCTCTCTGTCATGTTAGTAGTAAGTCTCATTTCTGTTATTCAACTTTAAATATATATATTGAATAGTCTTTGATTTTTTTTTTTAGAATAACTTGTAAAGAGATGATAAATAGCTTCAAGTATTACTCTGGTTAAAAGACTAAAACTTGTTAGGAAACATTGAGTAGATATACTTAATTTACCCTTGCAGAATCGCGTCAAGTTGTTTTCCGATTGAGTTTCTTTTTAATTATTTTTAAAGTCAAGTAGTTTGTTTTTGCATAATGTATGAGTGTTTCTCTAAATCAAATGAAGTCTTTGAATTAGACTATGAAATTGGAATTTTTCTAGAGTACTTTCTGAGTTGTTTTTAAAGAGTTCCTCCTTCTTCTTGATATCATTGACTTGAAACATTATAGCAATGTTGATTAGGAAGGTTTTGTACCTTCATAAAGTTCCTTAAAGAATTCCCATACTTTAAAATCTTTTTTTAATGAAGGTAACTATTTCTTACCAATATAATTACTGTTAAATCTAACCTATAAAATAATTACATGAATTAATTCTGATTAATATTGAGAAGCTCATTTCACTTGCACTGAATCCCAAGAAGAACCCCAATTGATTTTGAAAAGAAGAAAATGTTGAAGATAGTATTGATTGGTTCTCTTTTTATTCTCCTCTAGCTCTCCTGGTTGGGAGTTAATTTATATCTGTTTATCGACACATTCTACTGGTATGAAAATGAAGAGTCTTTCTTTTACACACGAGTTATTCTGGGTGTAAGTAGAGTTGGTGACTACACGTTATCATTTCAGAAAACAAAATGCATTCTATTTTCCCAGCTTCCTTGTTTTCACTGTATCTCTTTCTCATATCTGTATCTATGAACAGTCGGGACTGGCTTGGGCAAGAGCATCTGCAAGCTGCCTGAATTTTAACTGCATGCTAATTCTATTACCAATCAGCCGAAACCTTATTTCATTCATAAGAGGAGCAAGTATCGTAAGTACTAAATTATTTCAAATAATTTTAGTTGTGATGACTAACATAAGTGCCATTGAAAACAGAGATGTACTTTACGATGAAATTCCCAATCATCTTGTTTGGATTAACGTTTATTTCTTTGTAAGAAAACACAATGGCTAAAACTGAAAATCAGAAATTGGTACGTCTGACTTGACTTTTGTTTTTGCCACCGACTCCCTGCGTGACATTGGACCACTGTTCAACCTTTCCCTGATGCATTTGCCCCAGCTGAAAAGTAGGGCTAATAACATTGACCTCACTCATGAACATGGAAGTACTATAACAGCTTGAACTATTACCATTTCTAATTGAAAGGAGACAAATACGCAGTTGAGCCAAATATCACTGCAGAAACATTTGAGTTCTCAACACTGGAAAGCACAATCTCAGTACCCAGATTTTACTATGAATGCTTTAATCCCTACTGGACATAATGGAACATTTCCTAATTATATTGATCTCACTGTGTTGGGTACTTAACTGTGGCTCATGCTAAACAGAGTAACACACTGCACAGACAAATGAGACCTTCGATAACCTTTAGTAGACAAAGTAATTTATTATACACTCATCATCATAATTTTATGAATATTTAGATGTAGATGAATAGAGTGTCTTTCACTGTGTAATAAGGAATAATTTATAAACTACTAAACCACATCAATGACAACGATGGTCATCATCTTCATTTTCCAAATAAGCTGAGCGTGAATATTAGCAGGTTTATTCTCAAGTTTTGACTTATAGCCAGAGTATTACTCACTCAGTCACTTTTATTGAGTTGAAATTTTAGGAAAGCCAATAATAACCATTTGCCTTTGTTTGTTTGACTAATTCTTGTCCACTAACTTTTGTGGCACATTGCCCAACCTTAGTGGCAGCGTGTGGGTCGTCTCCTTATCCTTCAAAACACTGTCATTACTGTGATATTTCCCAAAACAAGACTTTTATTTTTGTTCCTCTAGTGCTGCAGAGGACCATGGAAGAGGCAATTAGACAAAAACCTCAAATTCCACAAACTGGTTGCCTATGGAATAGTGGTTAATGCAAGTAAGTGCTTATTATTAATTGACTGATGGATTTTAACGATGCCTAATGTTTAACTTTATAGCTTTGTTTATTTTCTCTCACCAAAGGCTCAACCCTTAGGTAAAGAAATCTTTGCCTTCCATCTGACCACATAAACCTTACACAAACAGATTTTTAAATTTCTAATTTCGACTCATGCAGTTTTCCCTTCCAAGCCTTCTGTTTCTCCAGAGGAAGTTTGTGAAACTTCATTTTCATCTGTGAATAGTTGAGCTCGTTGATCACACAATGGTAAATGCCTACTTGAAGACTAACACTTTGCGATTCAATATAACTCACATCAGAAATAAAATTGACCTATATTCAAAATTTTACTCACAGTCATAAGAAAGTGACTATCAAACGGTTTCATGGGCAGTAAAAAGGAAACAGAGGCAGGAGCAGATTCCAAATTGTGCTGAGCTAGTGGCTATAAAAAGATCTTGAAAAGACACGAAGCTTTATGGGCATATAAAGCGTTATTGTTATTTCTTGAATTAGAAAACAAGAGAATTCCCGGGAAAGGCGCTAGAAATTAATATCCAAGGCCAAGGTTAAACTCTGGTGAGAAAGACGAGGGCGCGTGCGTGGTGGGGGAGGCAATGACCAACAAGCTGGTGGTTTTGTTGGACAAAAAAATTATGTTGAAATAAAAGGCTATCCGCACGATAAAGACTTATGATTCAGGACTGTTTCCCTCAAACTAATTTAACTATAAAATGTTTTCCTCATTTGTTTTTATTCTCTCATGCATAAAAAATAGCAGAGTAAAAAGAACACTCAAAACAAATGTGGATTTAATTAAGCAACAAGACATGACAGACGGTGCCCGAGTGCCAATTAACACAACTTGGGTGTGTGGGGAGATTTCCCCAAGATTGTCTTCGACACCAGATAGAACCAACCCAGAAAGTGTTTGCAGAAGGACTCTGTAGTCTGTTAAGAAATAAGGGTAAAAAGACAGGACGTTCTAGAGAAACCCAGCTGGTGAATGGAGGGCGAAGAATGGGGTGATTCATTTTCCAAGGCCCACAATAGCACTGAGTCCTATACATAGGTGCCAATAGCCTCTGGTGAATGGGTGAATGCCTGAAAGAATGAAGATTCAGGGGAGATTTCAGCTCAGAAACGGAAGTCTTTTCCAGACCTTGAAAGTTATCTAAAATTAAAACGAGGGTCCCCGGAGAGTACTGACTTCCCTGCCCTGGATGGTGTCCAAGTAGAGTCAAGATTACTCCTTAGAAGGTTCTTCAGAGAAGGAATTCAAGAGATTTCTAGGCTTCCATAAAATCTTAAGAATCCTTAATTCCTGCATTAAAAGAGGAGATAAAACACAATAAAATGGCAGGAAGGAAATTATCACCATGCAATCACTTAAAGGCAGAATTGGACTCCAAGCGAAAGTTACAAAGATACTATAAACAGAAGGAACAACAGCAAGAAAAAAACCCACAGCATCAAAACACATCAGAAAAGAAAGCAAAGAACAAGGGAAATGTGTTCCGAAATAGTTTTGCCTTAAACCTTTGGGCATGCATGTACATTTCTGTATATGTAATCATACATCAACAGCATAAATGCCTAAGTGATGTGTACCAAACGTCTCTCCAGTGCAGATGTTCTGACAGGGGCAATACTGGCAAACAGGTGCAGTCAGTACTGTTTTCAGAATGGGGCGTAATTTAGTGGGGGCAGCAGTTGACGCGACTCGAGTTATCTGTCCGCTGTGAGATCTCAGTAAGTTCCTTAGGCCTTTCCTTCCGTGAAATTAAAAGAATGCAATCTGTCCATCCCTCTGAGACGTGCAGGCTGGTTCTCAGGAGTGGACCTCTCAGAAATTCTCAGACTTCAAGGTCATTGGCTTACTGCTAGTTGCAGAGAATCAAACCCAAGTTCAGCGAGGCCGGCAGGCTCCACTCATCAAGCCCTGCCGGCGACTCCAGCCTCAGCTCCCCACACAACCCCTTGCTTTTTCCCCTCCCGTACCCCCAGCGGCTGGCAGTCCGCGGAGTCTGTGCCTTTGCTCTTGCTGTTCCTTGTGTCTGAAATGCTCTTCCTGTCCTCTGTGGGTAAGATGTCAGCGCACCCAGGACTCCTGGCCTGGTCTGACTGCCCGGACCCACCAGGTCTGGGTGGTCCGCCCCCGCCTGGTCTGACTCCCCAGGACCCACCAGGTCTGGGTGGTCCGCCCCCACACCTCCCACCTTATCAAGTTCTCAGACTCTGGTTACACCAGGGCTGAGACTGTGCCATACCCACCTTCATGTATAACAGGATTTCAGCACATTTGGTCAAACCTGAGGATGAGTAGGCATCGACCAGCAGGCAAAAGAGGTTGAAGGAATTATTGGGAAAGGTACAAGACAGGAGGGGGCAGGAGTCCTTCGGGAAACCCCAAACATTTTAGGGTGCAGAAAATAGGGTGTGGGCAGGGAGGAGATTGATAATACTGCCAGGTGCCCAGATAAACTCACATTCTGGTGCAACACAAGGAAGCAGGGTGCTGTTTCTCCCTCTTTCCCACAGAAATCCCTCGAGAGAACCAAGTCCTCTCTCCATCCCTTCCACTGAACCCCCGCTGCTCTGCGGGCTCCCTCCTCCCACCGCCATGGCAACCAGCGGCCGCGGGGTGCCCATTCCCGGCCAAGGCAGGAGGGTGGGGACAGCCCGCTCCGCTGCTCCCAAACCTGACAAAGCAATTATTCCATTTCACATGAACTCGGAATGCGGCTGGCAACTGCACTTTCAGAGAGAGAAAAATGCTGCGCCCTGGTTTCGTAGATGTACCTTTGCTTTTCACATTTTGTCCTTCTGCCAGATTCGCCTGGGAGCTGCTGGAAATGTCCCCGCGCTTATTTTATTAGCATCGCCCACTACGCGGCTTTTCAAACCGCCGGCTGGCTTCACAGAGGTGTGTGACCTTGGAGGGGCGCGTGCACAGCGAAGTTCGCGTGCCAGCCTCTCCTTTCTCATCCGTTCCCCTGTACGTCGAACTGCAGGCTTTAATTGGTCAAATCATTAAAGGATGTAATTAGAGCCTGGTGGAGGCAGCCTGGAAGGAGGAGGGAAAAGGCGAACAATGGTATCTGTAATCAAGGGCATCACCGAAAACGCAGCGACAGGAACCTTCTCCTTTTGACACCCTGCCTCCGGCTTGCTGCCTCTGATGAGAGCTGCCGATGAATCATTTCCAGGGACCCCTAGCCCCACTGGAACAAAAATCGCCGTTTTCTTATTCATGCAGATCTTTCTGGACTCCGTGGTCCACAGTAGACCTTGGAGACCCTTCCAATGCAATAGCAGGACTTGGAGCATGAGCTTCCCTTAAAGGGGGCCCTGAAGAGTGACCCAGGCAGCTCCCTCCAGCAAATTCTGCAGCTTGTGTCTGCTAGTTTCCAGTGTCTTACAATTACCCGCGCTCGGCTCCTGATGAGTTGCTAAAATTAGTTTACAAAGCTCGGTCAGCGTAACAGGGACAGGTTGAGAGAAGGGAGCTCAGAATAAGGGTGGTGAAAATAAAAGATGTGGAGGCCTCAAGGTAGAGAACAGCCCCAGAGGCCGAACTCTCAGGACGGATCCCGAAGGAGTTACTACTAATCCAGATCTGCTCCAGGCAGTGGGAGCTCCAAGGAGACTCTTTCCCGGTCCTGCCAGACATGATTAAATTTGATTTACAAGTGAGTGGCAGGCACAGGTGCCCCAGTCAATACATGTTCCTGCAGAAATCAGACCATGGATTTGAAAGTTTGGGGCCGGATTCTGGCTGTCACGACTGCAGCCAGGCTGTGTCCCTGGGTCCTGATTTCTAACTGCTGCTTAATTAAGAGGTGACTAACTCCAAAATGACTGTGAGCACTGACAGGCAGCCAGAATGATAGCAGGAACTGACCGCCCTTCCGAGACTCTCCCTCAATTATGTTTCCTTTGATCTCCTCAAAAATCAGAAGAAGGAAAGAAAGAAGGAAAGGGACTTTCTCAGGGCCACTGGCTTTAATTGTGGCCTTTATGATTTTTTTGCTTCACTCTTCAATAAAAGCTCCTTATTTGAACTCAAAAGTTCCCACACCAATTAAATGTGCATTTGTAGTATGCCCAAATTGTTGCTCTCTTTTAACTGCAAAAGTCCTTTGGTGAGAAAATAAAACTGTGGAAAGATCCAGTAATAGCATCTTTTAGCCTGGTATTTGGGTGGGTTCTAAAAATGCTTATGCTGGGCTCTTCCAAGGGCTCAGCCGAAAGTCCTCAGAAGCCCAGGAAGAGGGCCCCTGAGTAGTCGGTGGCATTAGATTTGCCACAAGACCTAAAATGCCCCTTTGAGCCAGTGCTGATTTTGAAATCATATTAAAACAGGAGTTTCATGTTTGCTTTGCTTTCATATCCGCCTATAGATCCCTTTTAGATGATAAATGTTCCTGGTTAACTTCAGCAAGAGATACAGGAGACAGGCAACTGGAAGGGATATACTTAGATAGTGTATAGTTCACTCCAGTTCACCCATTCAACAGATGAGAAAACAAAGGCTGAGAAAAAAAAAAAGTCAAGTAACTAAGAGGGATCTTCTTTACTGTTCTTTCTCCTACATAAGATCAAATCTAATAACAAGATTCTGATGACTTAAGAGAAAAAAAACTAGATCCACACCATTACTTGATCACTTACTTGAAAACACTGTCACTGTAAGCATAGGTTACATGGCTCTTCGTGGTAAAATGCTACGATGTATAAAGGGAAGAACCAAAAATATAATGTTTGAAAATGATCCAAAGCAGTATTTCCCCTGGTATCTATCAATTTCCAGTAGCCCTGGATGTGGTACCTGGGACACCTTTAATTACAAGCCAAGTTCACAATAAAAATAGGATCAGATTTAAGAGGAAATAAAATGTTTGGACAAACAAAGTGGACACGAGCAGTTTTCTCTCTGAGAATTCCCGAGATGAACAGAATAAGATATTCTACTTTTTATCTTCTACCTGTAAGAA